AGTGTTAGGTTTTACTGCAAAAAAAATGCACATATTTGTAATCATCAATGTCAGGTTTTATGGTGTTTTGGAAGGTTACAGGGTCAAATATAGAACGTTACATTTTCAAATTGAAATTTGCCAGATTAGTAATGTTACCTTTGAGACAGTGTGGTAGCCCAGGAATGAGAATTACCCCCATAATGGCATACCATTTGAAAAAGTAGACAACCCAAGGTATTGAAAGTGGGGTATGTTTAGTCTTTTTTAGTAGCCACTTAGTCACAAACACTGGCCAAAGTTAGCGTTCATATTTGTTTTTGTGTGAAAAAAGCAAAAAACGAATATTTGGCCAGTGTTTGTGACTAAGTGGCTACTAAGAAAGACTGGACATTACCCCACTTGCAATACCTTGGGCTGTCCATAAAAGTGCTGTTCGTTTGTAAAAAATGCAAAAAACTTCACTTTAACTTAAAATATCATCGTTGTAATACAATTTACCAGTTTGAAACACTAATATTTGAGTTCAGCAAAGTCTCCCGAGTAAAGCAGTACCCCCTATGTACAGGGTTTATGGTGTCTTGGAGAGTTACAGGGTCAAATATAGTGCTTGCAAATTAAATTCTCTGCACTTTCTCCCTGTGTTGTCAGGCATGTCAATCAAATTTTAATTAATCAAATCACATAATTATGTTAAAAGATTACTTAAATATACAATCAGAATTTTAATATACATGCATTTATAGGTATTTAAATTCTATGTGTATACTAATGTAATCTTTTATGTAATTATATGTATTTATAAAACCCACTTCTTCATAAAAGTGTATCAATTAAACTGTTAATAGCTCCTGACTGATTCCTCTTCTGCAACTGTCACTAGTCTAACACTATCCTTACCTTTTTGTGTCATTTTACCCCACTCCCTCTAGCATGTAAGTTCATTGAGCAGGGCCCTCAACCCCTCTGTTCCTGTGTGTCCAACTTGTCTGGTTACAACTACATGTCTGTTCGTCCACCCATTGTAAAGCGCTGCGGAATTTGACGGCGCTCTATAAATATCATAATAATAATAATAATATTTGCGGTTATTTGTATTTTATATATAGATATATATAGAATGTAATTCTAAGTGTATTTTGTTACCAATATATATATATTAATAACAAAATACAGTTAGAATGAAATTACATATGAATATATAATTTATATTAAATTTTGTTTCAATATTTTATTTATTTATTTTATTATTTTATTTATTATTGTAATTATACGTATATATATAATATATGTGTATATATCTATTATATATATAATATATACATATATATATGTAACGTCATTCTAAGTGTATTTTAATACTAATATATGTACTTATATTAATATTAAAATACACCACGTATGACGTTACATATATATATGTATATATTATATATATAATATATATACATATATTTTATATATATATATAAATATATATATATATATATATATAAATACATTTCGATTTTATTTTAAAACATGTCTAATATTTTTTTTTTTTTACTTTCCCACCAGCAGGGGGACTGTCTGATATTTCAGACAGTCCCCCTGCTGGCAGATCCCCGGGGGCCTAATTTGGCATGGGAGGGCTGCCTGGGCTGTCAGGCAGTCCTCCTGAAGCGGAGCGCCGGGAATGTAAGTATTTCTGAGGCTCCAGGGCTCAAAGCCGTTACAGCGTTCTATGCCGCCGCAACGGCTTTAAAGCCCTTTTAATGCAGGACGGCATAGAACGCCATAACGGCGTTAACGGGCTAAAGGAACACTATAGGCACATGTTTACATTGCAGGGTTAAGAAAACCTCTAGTGGCTGTCTACCAGACAGCTAATAGAGGTGCTTTTTGGGTTCTAGCGAAGTTTGACCCCATAAAACAATGCCTAATGTATTCAAATTCCCCATAAGAAAGCATTGATTCAATGCTTTCCTATGGGGACCCTCTAATGCATGTGTGGTACTTGCCATGCACGCACATTAGGCTGCACCATTGGCTTGACTCCACTGGAGCACGAGACCACGCTGCCACTGAGTGACCTGAACTCTGCAAAGAGGTAAGGGTAAAAAGTTTTTTTTAACCCTTTAATCACCATGAGGGGGCGGACCAGTAGTAATAGGGACAGGGACACTTTAGTGTTAGGAATACAGTTTTGTATTTTTAATGTTATAGTGTTCATTTTAACTACAATAAATGTATTTAGAAATCAGTGTGTGTAAATAAGATACATTGTTCTTCTTCTAAATTCCATTTTAGCTGCATAAATTATTATGGAGTGACCAAAAATTTCTCAGAACAGCCCCGCTCCTGGTCACACCTTCATTCACTCCCCTAACATTTAAATGTCCCTCTTTGTCCATTTTAAATTTTGAAAGTTAAATTTAGTTAGTTATTTGGTTGTGCATACATCTCGGAAGTGACTGTGCCCATTTAAGCAACTTTTGGCATTATGGCATCAGGGCTGGACTGGGGATACAAAGCAGCCCTGGAAAAAAAATTTGTGCAAGCCCCATAAGTCACTGCGCCATATATTGTCGCGTGTAATATGTAAGGCTATGTCTTGCCATGACGGATGATTGAGTAATATATATATATATATATATTGCTTTTTCTAATATAAAATATTGGTCCTTTCAGGGTAAAACGTTTAATTATACAGTGAGCATACTCACATGCAGACACAGGCAATTTCACTGACATCTCAATGACACACACAAGCTCATTGATACACAGCCTCATAGACAAACAATCTCACTGATATACATCAGCATTGACATAAAAATACAAGCTCACTCACTAGCAGGCACACGCATGCAAGCAAGCTCACTCACTAGCAAACGCACACACACAGCTTAATGTGGTGGTACTGGTGTCTATAGCATGTCCCTACAGGTTTTTCAATGTAAACACTGACTTTTCAGAGAAAAGGCAGTGTTTACATTGCTTCAAAGTGACACTGCTAGTGACAGTCACTCAGACGGTCACTAGAGGTGCTTCCTGTGTTAGTGCACCTACATTCAGGGCCTCCAAACTCTGTAGGTGCTGAACGTTCCCCATAGAGATACATTGATTCAATGCATCTCTATGAGGAGATGCTGATTGGAGTGGCGTTTTGCAGCCAATCCTATGGCAAAGCATTGGATTGGCTGAGATCATCAAGCTTGATGATCTCAGCTATAGAGGCAGGGCTATAGAGGGGAGACCAGCACGCTGCGTGGGGAAAAAAAAAAGGTGAGCAAAAACACTATTTTTAAAAACACATTTACACCATGACAGACACAGAAACACACATATACCATGACAGACACACACACACACACACCATGACAGACCATGACACAGACAGACACACACACCATGACGGACAGACAGACACACACCCCATGACGGACAGACACACACACACCCCATGACGGACAGACACACACACACACACCCCATGACGGACAGACAGACACACACACACACACCCCATGACGGACAGGCACACACACACACACCCCATGATGGACAGACACACACACACACCCCATGACGGACGGACAGACACACACACACACCCCATGACGGACGGACAGACACACACACACACACCCCATGACGGACGGACAGACACACACACACCCCATGACGGACAGACAGAAACACACCATACAGACAGACACTATGATACAGACAGACAGACACACACAACATACAGACAGACACACACACACCATACAGACAGACAGACACCATAACACAGACAGACAGACACATTACTAGTACCTGCCACCAGGGGGAGGTCTTCTGGAGGCCGCTGGGGAGGTCTTCTGGCGGCTGCTGGAGGACTTGTGCTGGCTGCCGCTGGGGAGGTCTTCTGGGGGCTTCTGGCGGCCGCTGGGGGACTTGTCCTGGCGGCCGCTGGGGGAGCTGCGCTGTCTGTGCTCTCCCGCCCTCGCTCGCTGCTGAATGAGACCGGCGCTGGTCTCATCCAGCTGCGCTCTGGGGAGCAGAGCGGCCGCCAGAAGCCCCCAGAAGACCTCCCCAGCGGCAGCCAGCACAAGTCCTCCAGCGGCCGCCAGTAGACCTCCCCAGCGGCTGCCAGCAGACCCAGGTGTCTGCCCGGCCCCAGGTGCCGATGGCCCACCGAGAAATATCCCTGTGGGCCAGTCCGGCCCTGTATGGCATAAACCTTTTATCTAAACAATGTAAGCAGACACAACCTGTCATTGTTTGGACTCTAAAAAAATATTTCTACTCCCACTGAGAGTGGCTGTCCCAAAACAAACGTTTATTTGTCAATATATTCACTTACTTTATAGGTAAGGATAAATTTACACAAACCTAAGCATATATAACATTTTTTGATGTGGGTCTGTTTTAATTTTTTCAGGCACTTCCAATTTAATTTAATTTTAAATGATATGTAGAGGATTATAAATAATAAATAACCTTAAAGAATTAATTCACTGTGAATACATACACACTAATATTTCTTTTTTCTATAACGCGGAACGCTCGTTTACTTGAGTCAGTTAGCGGCCATGTTCAGCCTACATTTCTTTCCTTTCTGCATATTCCAAACACTCCATTATTACTTAGACTGTATGAATTCTCTGCTTGAGTGCATTTTCTTAAACCAATGAAGGGCAGACTAGATGGGCCGAATGGTTCTTATCTGCCGTCACATTCTATGTTTCTATCTCAGTTTATCTTCTATAATCTTTTATAATGATTGATGTATTCCATGTTGTGCTCCAAGAACGTTATCTGCGTATGAAGTACTGATAAGAACTATATTAAAAAAAAATATATATATATATATATATATATATATATATAAACAAACACTCTATGAATCCTTGCACTCAGGCTGTAACTCACAAAAATGGCCGGGTGCAATATAACTAGGGCTTCAATATCCAAACGTAACGTAAAGGTGGCTGCACTTACGGTTCTTGTTAAAAGTCCAAATTTTATTCCAACATCGTTAAAAATAAAGAGATCAATGTTTCAGTCCCTCTCAGGGACTTTCCTCAGGATCTCAATAATGATCCACAATAATGATTCCTCAGGATCACAATAATTATTGTGATCCTGAGGAAAGTCCCTGAGAGGGACTGAAACGTTGAACTCTTTATTTTTAATGATGTTGGAATAAAATTTTGACTTTTAACAAGAACCGTGAGTGCAGCCACCTTTACATTACGTTTTTTTATAAATAAATATATTTGTCTAAATTAAAGGGACACTATAAGCACCCACACCATTTCATCTCAGTGAAGTAGTCTCGGTGTAATGACCCTGCCGTTTCTCTTTCGTAACATAAAACATTTCCTTTTTGTGTTTTGACTAAACACACCAACAGTGGCTGTCACCTTGAAAACTACCAGATGTTGCTTCCTTATTCACAACCGAGTCAAACTCTGTTCTCTCGTTGCATTAGGACATCTAACAGCCTCTCAGCACAATGCAGGCAGCTCCCATGATTCTCACTGAGAAGCATCATAGTCAATGCATTTGAGAAGCATTTGATTGATGGTATAAGGCACTTGCTGCTCATGTGATTTTTATCCAGAATGCTTCTCCATGAGAAGCATTATTTGATTGGACGAGAAATCCTCAATCGTAATGACAAAACAGGAGACGGATGAGGGTGCTGGAATGCATCTCAGGGTTGGGCAAAGGGTGCTGATGTCACCGGGATATATTCAATAAAAAAAAAAAATGATTTTTGACACAATACTTTCCCTTTAAGGCACCATTAGCGCATGAGAAAACTTGTTAATGAAATGCCAGAACCAATGTTGATGACAGTCTACTCTACTGAAGTAGAACGTCATAATCATTTAGTGCTAAAGGTGCCTTAAGGAGCATTTAAAGTTAAATAAACAGGTTATTCTGACATCGTTATGGACTAGATTGTGATGTTAAAAAAACCATGTCATTGGTGCTAAAAGGGTTAAAACACAGCATAAAGTCTTTTATGTTATAAACAATTTTGCTAAACTTTACAATCCTTGTATATTTTGTTGTTGTTGTTTTGATGCTATGCCTAACTGAACACACTTTCTGTAAATATTTTCTAATATCCATAAACTACAATAATTTCTTTTTTTAAATTAATTTTCACATGGTCTTATTCACCCTATATATTCCCATTCAGGTCTCCTAGTTCTACGCCCTCAGATCACAATACAAATCTTTCCAGCCTTCAAACCGTAACACGTCACCAGCAGGTTACTCATTATCAGCTGAAAAACTCATCGGGAGGCAGCGACTGTATTCACAATTCGGAATTCACTATAATCAATGTTTATGTTACTGTGGTCTGATGATCTAATCCACACGTTATACTCAATGTAGGCCATATAAGGACAGCTATGCACTCCTAGAACACTAAGTAGCTTTTAAATGCACATCACATTATCTAATCCTATACCTATGTTGGATCTATCCTTGTTTACGATCTGTTTCAAGATGAGTTTCCTCAAAGATTGGTTTGTGAGCAGTCCAACACTGAAACCATTAAGAGAGAATAATTTAAGAAAAAAAATATATAAAGTAGTGTCAGGAGAAAAAAAGTCATGAAGGGAAGGATCAGGATGTTTTATAAAAAAATAAAATAAATATTGGTCCAATGTTAGAACGATAACAAAAAGATGCCTACAGGAAACACCAAGAAAAACAGGATAGAGACTCCAGACTCTCAAGGTGATGAAACCATAGGCAGGTTTATTGGGTCAAAAAAGTGACAGAGCAGCAACGTTTCGACCTTCTACGAGGTCTTTGTGAAGCTAGGGAACACCCTAGCCAACCTAGGGAACACCAGAGCATGAAAACTTTAACAGTGAGCTCGCCTGTACATCTTCATGATAGAAGAGAGAGATCTCAAGGTTCTTAAGAGGACCATAAGAAAAATTATTTAGAGGAATCATTTCTATTTTAATAAAATATATTCCAATGTTTTTTTAATCCGCTTAATTTCAACACATTATATATAATTATATATACAAAAAGTGTAGAGATGATTCCACACATTATTATTATATTTATATAGCGCCAACAAATTCCGTAGCACTTTACAATGGGTGGACTAACAAACATGTAATTGTAACCAGACAAGTTTGACGCACAGAAATATTAACTCAGTACTTAGCACTCTTAGTTATAATGAAGGATGATTTTCATAGGACTACAAAGTCTGTATGCATCTTGGTTAGAACATATCAATGAATAATTACATTTGAGGTATTTCTTTACCCATCACAGCATCTGGTTAAACTTACATTTGTAAATGGTGTATTTACCTTATACCCATTGAACAACCCAGAGTGTATCAATCCATTGCATTTGTTCTGTTTATTTTTAGGTTACTGATTTAAAAATAAATATTCATTACACACACAGAGTTACACGCAGACAGTCACACACACACACAGTTACAGGCAAACAATTACAAACACACATGTACAGATGGACAGTCACGTACATACAGCCAGCCAGTGTAACAAACACACCGTTACAGGCAGACAGTCACACACACACAGGTGGGCTGTCACACACACACAGGCACAGGCAGGCAGTCTCACACACACACACACAGGCAAACAGTCACACAGAGGCAGACAGTCACACACACAGGCACAGGCAGACAGTCACACACACAGGCACAGGCAGACAGTCACACACATACACAGGCATAGGCAGACAGTCACACACACAGGCACAGTCAGACAGTCACACACACACACACACACATACAGGCAGACAGTCTCACACACACACACACAGACAGTCACACACAGGCAGTCACACACACACACACGCAGGCAGACAAGCACACACTGTTACCTTCATTATGGAGGTGGAAGTAGTGCAGCTCCTGGATTCTGCTTGTTGGGGAAGCAGGGACTGCTTCCCATGCTGCAATTGCTCGGTCCGGCACTTCTAGCCCACGTCCCCACCGTCATCTAGCCCCGCCGTACGCTAAGCCCTGCCCTGACCACAATGCTTTTGTTGTTGTTTTTTAATGAAATCCTCCACCCGGCCAGCCGGCCATGTGTGAGCTGTGTCGGCTGTCAGAGCGCCCCCTGCTCCAAGGCACCCTGTGCGGCCGCACAGCTCGCACACCCCTAAGGCCGGCCCTGCGTCTAGGCCCCTACGCTCTGCCGAAGACCTACGTTTATCCTCTGTTTGTACCCCCACCTCTGATGCTCGCATTGATGACCTCTCTAGGGCTGCACCATTCCTGTGGAACTCGCTTGCCTTTTCCGTTAGACACTCACCCAGTCTCCCCTCCTTCAAAAAATCATTAAAAACTCACTTTTTCTCAAAAGCATATCAATTAAACTGTTAATGGCTCCCAACTGATTAATCTCCTGCAACTGTCATTAAAGAAAAAAAAATCCAGTCTAAGTCTTCAGTGAATACTATTCTACTAATCTACTGCTCTATACTTCCCTTACCTTTTGTATCACTTTACCAGAGCCGGCCTGTGAACAAAAATCAGCCCTGGAAAAAAATTCTATACCAGCCCAATAATGCGTCGCGCCAGCATAATGTGCTGATATAGAGGGTGAAAACTTAAAATTGAAAACTATTACTCCAACGAAAGAAAGCATATAGGGCTTCAAAATAAACAAAAGAGCGCCTTTATTTTAAGCAGACGTACATTTGCATATAATCAATGTTTCAGTCCAACTACCTTGACATATTAAGCAAATTTTAGTAAAAGGACTGAAATGGTGAATATATGCGGTTGCACAGCTGTAAAAAATTAAGTTATCTTGTTTATTTTGAAGTCCTGTGCGTGCGCTCTTCACTTTGAATATGTTATTGTGCTGGAGTATGCACCTAGCAACAAAACTGGGCCAATACATACATGTTATTTATGTGTGTATTATGCGTGTATAAATGTATATTAATATATGTGTAAATATTATAGGCATAATTATATGTTACTAATACAAACATTAATATACATGCATATATATATATTGTCAGGATCACATCAATTACGTCTATCTGTACATTGTGTTAGCAAAATGCATATATTGGAAGAAAAATCTATTTAATAAGAGGTCTTTCTCTCACCTGTCAATTATTTCTTCGGCATAAAATCCCGTGCTGAAGAACTGAGTTACAGGGAGAGCAGGAGGCACAGGCGAAAATACATCCCCCCTCAAACACGCATAAAAAAATGCATCTTCTATTGTGTTTATTTTAACTCCCTTATGAATTTCTTGCCTTTTTTTTTGTGTGTTTTTTATTCCCTCCTTCAATTTTTTTTACCTCATTTAGTGTATCTTGTCTCCAATTTTCTCCTTTTGTCTCTTACAGCCACCCTTGTAATTCTCTTTTAGCTCCCCTTGTGTTTCTTTTACTTCATTCCAGCCCCGTGTGTCACATTTTACCCTTCTCCAGCCTCTGTATGTCTCTCTCCCCCCAGCCTTTTTTGTGTATGTTTTAGCCGCAGGCTCTTTGTCTCTTTCTACCCTTCCAAATCCCCTCTGTGTGCCTCTTTCTCTTCTCCCAGCCACTCTGTCTCTTTTTACCCCCACAAACCGTATGTCACTTTGTTCCCCTTCCCTTCTGTATGTTTCTTTGCCCCCCCCCAACAAACCTTCTGTGTGTCTCTTTCTCCCCTCTCCTCTATGTGTCTCTCTTCCCCCTCTCCTGTGTCTCTCTCTCCCCTCTCCCCTCTCTGTCTCTTTCTCCCTCTCTTTTCCACGTGTCTCTCTCTTCCCCCTCTGTCTCTTTCTCCCCCTTTCCCCTGTGTCACTCTCTGCATTGGCTTCCCTCAAGATATAGATAAAATTCTGGTTCTTGCTTTCAAATCTCTAGATAATGCTGCTCCCACCTACCTATCCTCCCTAATACACAAGTATGTCCCGTGTGGGCCCCTACACTCTGCTGAAGACTTATGTCTATCTTCTGTCCGTACTCCCACCTCTGATGCTCTCATTCAAGACTTCTCTAGGGCTGCATCGTTCCTGTGGAACTCCCTTTCCTTTTCTGTTAGATGCTCAACTAGTCTCCCCTCCTTCAAAAAATCATTAAAAACTCACTTTTTCTCAAAAGCATATCCATTAAACTGTTAATGGCTCCCAACTGATTCATCTCCTGCA